AATGGGGACAAATTAAATATTCCACCTCATATGAATATTTTGATATTTTTTTTCCTTTTTCTAATCACATATATCTATGTCATGTTTCTTTTCTATCATTCTTTGGCTTCTTCCTTGTTTTTTAGTTATTCTTTCTATTTGCTTTCTACTTGAGCAAAGAATTTTGGAAAGAAGAATGATCAACGGAAGTTGAGGCCATTAATTTAGAAATCCGGTGTCCTTTCCCTCTTATAACAAATGGGGTTGCACAATGTAAGACGTTTACCTTTAGTACAATCAACCCTAGTCATAAACAAAGGAATGGGCTCAACGTTAGATGGTCAGGTGGTATGGAGCCAAAAAATAAAGTGTTGAGTTCTATTTCTATCATAGATAGGTGATCCCTTCTTTATTGAACTACCAAAAAAAATTCATTAGATATGAAATCCGAGTACTAGAGCGGCATCATTTTTCTATACAAAATTTGAATAATTTTTTCTTAAAATTTAAGGGCATCCCTAATAATTGGATTTCATATATAATGACCAAGAGGCATTGTGGCCTTCTTGTACCAAAGAGAAATGGTCACATTATATACTTTTCTATGACAAGTCTCTAGCACATTCGTCCTTGCTTAAGGGGGGCAAAAACGCAAGGAATCTTTTGTTCAGGATGTTGTAAAAGCCAAGCACATGCTGGCACTTGCCTCAAATAAATAAACTAGTGAACTACCTTAGCTTCTTTGAGATTGTTAGTGTGGGTGTGTGACCATGGGGCTTCACATGTGCTTATATTTTTTTATTTATTTTAATTGATATTTTCAAAATATTATATGTATTATTTGTTATTTATTTTGAAAACGGTTTTTAGAGAAGAAACATCTTTTCCAATACTTATCTTAAGGGATATTTTTTAAAGATTTCAAAAAAAAAGCAGAAAGCTGGAATAACTTCAAAAGTTTTAGAAAATAAAGTTTGTTGGGTTATGTAAGACCATCATAAAAGCTTGCTTCAGAGTTCTGAGAAACACTGGGTGTCTGCAATATACATTCCAACAATATCTCCTATTAAAGCCTGGGAGTCCACCATTCTTTTCGAACAAGAGATGATCTTTCTTTCTTAATAATTTCTTGCAATGCATGGTCACCCAAAATTTTGAGATGAATGGTAGGACACATGTTGCTAGGTGAGCAACCATCTCTTTCTGCTTTAGTTGGAGTAACGTGAAATGCATGAAAATATAAGGTCTCTGTCAAAGTAATTGGCAAAAGCAACATAGAATGGCTATTGCCCTTCAAGGGTTTTTATATACAACTGATTCATGAAGACATAAAATCAAAAGCAATAAGCAAGAGTTTATGTGCATAACCGATTAATGAAGTTTACTTTAGAGGAGATGCAAGATAAGTGCATTTTTTTTCTATTTTACATAAAGGTAAGATTTTATATGATAATATTCTCGATCTCAATAAATAACATTAATGAAGTTTAAATAACATTAATGAAGTTTACTTTGGAGGAGATACGAGAAAAGTGCATATTTTTTTATTTTACATGGAAGTGGGATTTTATATGATAATATTCTCAATCTCAATAAATAACATTAAGGTTTCTAAAGTGTCGACACCTCCACAAACGAGGACATGGGTTTTTGGATCACAATAAATGCTTTTATTATTATATTTCAAGAAGCAATGGAAAAACACTGTTTTTTTTTTTTTTTTGGGTAATTCAATGGTGAAGACAGACCCCTATCTGTTTTTTCAAGTAGATTAGGAGTTAACTTTTTGAAAGCATTAGTGGGGTGGTGTGTTTTTTCAACTAGATTACGAATTAACTTTTTGAAAGCATTAGTGGGGTGGTGTTTGTGGTGGGAATAAAAACGACAACAGTATGACTAACGTATAGGTTGCTACCACCACGACCCAATCCCCTTTCTCAATAGTAAAATACGTCAAGGTTTTTAAAATGCTGAACCTGATGTTTGCTCATTTTCACAAATAGAACTAAAACAAACATAAGGGGCCTAAATTGGAAAGGTTGTACCCCTCTCATATCCACCTCAAGCCCTAAAAAAAAAAAGGCGTAAAATAGTAACTTTAATCCAACAAAATCTCATTTAAAAAGAGAAATTCATGCTACATCTCCCATAATTTTTATTTAAATACCGCCCCAACACTCCCCCCCCTTCTCAAATTTTTGTTTGTTACACGCTTATCTTCTTCTTTTTTTCAAGTTATCACTTCGAAGATTCAAAGTGATTAAACTACATTATAACTTCGGATCTTAAACTTCCAAAATCATTAATGATTTCAAATCTTGAAATTCCCCTCTCCCTCTCAAATTTTTGCTTGTTACGCGCTTATCTTTTTTATTTCCTTCAAGTTATCACTTCGAAGATTCGAAGTGATTAAACTACATTATAACTTCGGATCTTAAAAATCCACAGTATTGAGCCATACTTCGGATCTTAACTTCCAAAATCATTAATAATTTCAAATCTTGAAAATCCGACATCTTATTCTATGTGCATGACTTCGGATCTTCATACTTTGAAGTATGTCCCATATATATTACTTCATCTTCAAACTTTGAAGGCATAAGCAACTACAGATCTCGAAGATCCGAGGTGATCAACGCTCAAAAGAAAAAATATGTGGTAAATGCAAATGAGTTCTTCATTATCCAAAATCATAAAATCACTTTATGAGGTGGTGGCAAATCAAAAATGGAACAAAAGAAAACAAGGAAATCCTAATAAATTTTTGACATACAAGCGTAAATTTCTCTCTTCAAAATTATTGAAATCAAAGATATGCATGGTATGACCCAGCTTTGTCTCTAATATGGTCAAGAATGTATTTTCTATAAGTCCTAGACTTTATAGAAATAAAGTAAAGCCTCACCTCTAATCCTTGTCTAAAAAGCATTTTGAGCATCAAAAATATTTATGATGACTCTAAAATCAATTTTCAACACCAACTATAAAATTTGAAGCTCAGAAAATGGTACCGATCTTGTGGATTCATGAACACTTATTTTTAGAGTAAAATGAATGATCATCAAACTCTCAAGCCATATATATGACTTCATCTTCAAACTCTAAAGTCATAGGTGACTTCAAATCTTGAAGATCCAAAAAAAAAAACTAATTAGTAAAAAATAAATACGACTTGAAATCTTCATGATCTAAAATCATAAAATCACTTTATTAGGTGGGGGAAAATTGAAAATAGAAAAACAAAGCAAAAAAAGGCATTTTAATAAATTTTCGGGTGTACAAGTGTAAATTTCTCCTCTCAAAATTATCAAAATCAAAGAATCACTCGGTAAAGGATATCATGACCAACCCGCTTGTCTAATAAGGTAAAACTGCAGTTTCTATAATACCAAGGCTTAAACCAAAGTAAAGTCTCACCTCAAATCCTCACTTTGGACAATGAAAATCTCTTTTACAGCTCTAAAATCAATTTTTAACACCGATTGTGAAATTTAAAGCTCAACAAATATTGTGAATCTTTACAAAATAGATAGATGCATTCGCGTACACTATTATCGAAAAAATTTGGAGGTGCTTCTACTTTGATTATTTATGATTGCACCTTGTATGTGCGGTTTGTATAGAGCTTAGGCTCTAAACAATCAAATTAAGGTCTGCCTTAATATAGGGTCAAGAAATCTTTTTGATAGCCTTAAAAAATATTTTCTATCTTTATTTATAAAGTTTAAAGCCTCAAAAGTAGTGTAGATCAAGAGATTTATGAAAACTTGAAAATCTTGAAAATTGGTGATTCAAAAATCCGTTATAAAATATACTATTTTCAAAAATAAAATCTATTTTTTTTCTCATGTCCCTGAATCTTGATGTCAAGATGATCAATTTGAAAATATTTGGACATCAAAACAACCTCTTATAGTGAATTTTTGAGGTAGGCTCTAGTTTGATTGTTTAGAGCCTCGGTTCTATATAAACTTTTCCCTTACATAAAAGCTATTTCGAAAAAAATTACATCAAAGCCAGCGGCATACCTCCGACCAAACCTACGTGGCAAGAACCGACCAAGGCCATTCCCGTTACCCTTTCATTAAAAAAACTACTTAATTGGTATTGATCTGCCCATTTTTGATTCGCAAACCGTTTCGCAGCACGTCGATCGTTATTAAGACCGTCATCAATGCTACATCCAAGTGGGCGCATCTCGCTACACGTGTCATCTTTGATTTCCCCTTATAAAAGCGGGAAAAATGTTTAAGGCCTCTTTCCACTCTCTGCTCGCCACGTGTCCTTCGCTTTCTCTTTTAGTACAAGAGAGAGAGAGAGAGAGAGAGAGAGACTAACTTCTCTCTTTTGATTATCGTTTTCTTATTTGTTTTTTTCGATCGAGCAAGCGGATCCATCAAAGCAGAGGAACCTGTGCTCTTCTTTCTCCATTTTTTATTGAAGAAACTGGAAGTCTTGGATATCATTTCTTGTTGAGAGATAACCTTAAAAGTCTTTTGTAGAGCAAGAAACTTGGAAGCCCTAAAATGTTGAAGAAACTGGTAGCGATTGCCTCTAAAAAGGTATTTATGCTCTGAATTCTCTGCAATTAGAGTGTTTATTTTACTTGGTTCACTTTGTTTTGATCCAGATCGGTTTTATCATGAATTCCCTGAGTCAGCTGGTTTTTAAATGCTTTTCTCAGTTCCTCTGTTACTTTTAGAGACTCTTCTGTTTTTTTTTTCATCTGAAAGTTTATATTATTTTAGTATCTGAGAGTTTCTTATGGATTCAGTGTTCGTGAATTTAACCTAGGTATTTTTTGTTTTAGTTTTGTTCTCAATTATTTCCAGTCATATGCGTTACTCTTTAGAGGATTTTTTTTGTATCACTCAAGTGTGAAGAACTGTGTTTTTTTGAGCTTATGCATAGCATTTGATCCATGATTTGTGTGTTTTGGCTTTCTTATTCTATGATCCTCAATTACATCTGTTACTTTTTGAAATACTTTTCTGATATGGATTAAGTTCGCAGGATTTGAGAAATACTCTTATCTCAGTTCCTGCAAAGAGCAAACGTTTGATCCAAGATTGTTTATTTCTGAAAATATCACCAATTCGCTGTGAATTTCAATCTGGTCTAGATAATTAAGGTGCATAATCTATATGAAACAAGGAAGAAGAAGTTCTGTCTTGACTGTAAATGAAAATTTCCCTGCTAATCAGCATTATAGAATTTCGTTAAAGAGTAGTTCTCTTCTAAACCTTATTTATTTGATCCCAGAAGAAGAGCTTAAGCGCATAATACTATACAAATTTCAAAAAAATGAAAATAAAATCATTTAACCTGTTTTTAATTTGTTTATTTGTTTAGTTATTTTCCAGTTCTGGTTGATCACGTTTTAACTCTTGTCTTTTTTATCCTTAAGCATGAATTAAAGAGATAAATTGATCGCCCTTAGCCATATCACGCAGATGTTGTGCCAAAAGGGTATCTCTCTTGACCGTCCGATTGGGCGGTCAGTCAGTGGATGACATTATTTTCCTTTTTTAGTCTTTTTGACGTCTCGTCACATTAATGTGCGTGGATCTGTTTGGTCGTAGATACATGTCGATATCTGAAAAGGATTGAAAAAATACTTAGGGATAAACTTTATCTATTTCACCGTATCAGTTATTTAGCTATAAAATATAAAGTGGATTTGGAATCGGCACCGGGCCAAAAATATTATACGCTCATGGGATTATATTGTACATTTACTCCTTAAGGTACGATATCATCTACGAGTAATTTTAGGACCCCAAATTTGGGGGACGTGACCTCTTCATCCATTAGATTATCATCAATGAAAAGCCTCCAAGCACTTGAAAAAAGCAATGCCTCAAGATCAAATAAAACCTCCATGTACTTGAAAAACATAATGTCTCTAGATTAAATAGAGACCATCTACTAGTTTAGAGAGTTAGATCAAAGTGTTAGAAAATTCAAAAATCTATTTTTTTTTGTTTGAGAATAATAATCTAGTGATTCTTAGGTGGTTCCCAAAATTTCATATTGAAAAAATCCTCTCAAAATAGGTTATCTAACCGGGTAGATGTATACTATGTTCCTGTGGGAGCATAGCATTCACGCTTGTCTATCTATTTCAAATGAATACACATAATTTCCCGTTTCCCACTCTGTATATTATCATTTCATTCCTGGGTAAAATCCAAGCTGGGTGTATTTTTAGGACCCCAAAGTTTGGGGCTATAACCACTTGAACCTTGTGACCAATCCTAAAAACGAAAAAAAAATAAAGGGACTCCATATGTGCGCTCGAAAATGTTGTAAGATTGAAGAGACCATCAATTTTCATTTGGTTGGATCCAAGTGTTTAAGAACAGCAAATTCTAATTTTATTTAAATATTCATCTAGTAATTATTGGTTGAATCCTAAAACAAATTCTCCAAAGCAGATTTGCTCGCAGCATGTTCAAGGGGAGCAAAGCTATACGCGCTCATGCATTTTTTTATTTTGACCGGCGTATCTGCATTCATAATGTAGAGGTTATCAAGAAATAATTTATTAATAATTATACGAGTTTTTATCAATCTTTTCTATTCATTTGTAGAAAAAAATATTTTAGTAACGCTCAAATATTCTATTCGTACAATGAATTCGCCTTGCCCAATCTTGGCCGTGTATACGACTAAACTTTGATGGCTGTGAATGAGGTAGACTTTACACATGTATGGAGATATGTGTATCGTGTCATCGCACGTGCAGGATGCGGGTAATTTGAAGTTTGAAAGTGTGGTCAAATTAATGACATACTTTAAAGTATATGTGTAAGGTACTATATATAGATTATATAATATTTATATAAATATTATTTTATTTTTGAACGAGATCTGAAGCGACCCATCTGATCGACCTGGATCTAATTGGGACCCAAATCCCCTACCTAATTTAGATCCAGATTGGTAACTCCTCATCTAATTGGGACCCAAATTCCCTACGTACTGATTTACATCGAGATTGGTAATTCCTCATCCGGATGTGACCATCATGACTAGGAATATAGCCAGTTTTTCAAGCACTACGCTAAAAATGACTGTTACGACAGTTCTATAGATTTACTCACAAGTGAGGCCGTAGTCTAAGTTGGGTAATTGACTACAGTTGAGGATTACATTTAATATAAGAAGTTCATCTCTTTTTTGGTTTTCAAACAAAGATGTTTATCTCTTCTTGAAGGGACACAATAGTGATGAGGATTGATGTTTTGTATTTTGAGGAAATAGATCTTTCAAGGTGAAGTAAAAAAGACGACTTTGGATGACCGTTAAAAGCTTGAAGAGCCGAAAGACTAGAGGAGTTGTCTTGAGAGGTTGACTTGATGGACTCGGCTCCTGCGGGGTTCGGGGGCGGTAGCTTCGGATATATCCGTACATGAGATTCGATATATTTGGGACTTAATATATATCCATACAATGGTATTTCGGTAATTTGTACCAGGGACTCGATATATATTGTTGATATATATTGTTGCGATTGGGGTTCATCCAAAGTTAAGGGTTAAGGGAAAAACGTACATCTCTTTATAATTAGATAAAAACATAAAGACATGAGGAGGAAAAAGTATTGTAACCCTATTCTCCGTTGCCAGTAAAGAAGCTCTAATCTCCCATGAACATAGGCACGTTGTCGAATCATATATCCTGTGGACGTAGGCACATTGCCGAACCACATATATCTTTCCGTTATAGTTGATTGCCTTTTTTTTTTGTGTTTATTTCTTTTTTCTTGTTTTTTGTGGATTGCTTTTCGTTTCTATAAATAGTTTAAACTTATTCGTAATGGGCAAAATGGGATATGTTTATGTAAAACCGTTGGAGCTATTCAAAGTTAGCACGTACTAAGGGACGAATGCAGTTTTTTGGGGATTCATGGCCTGTGCATGAGGATATAAGTGGGCCTTGCATCAGCGGATGCCACAACTTTGATCGAAGTAACTATTTTATGGGTGTCGTTTATATAAGGTGTCAACCTTAAACAATCCAATTAAGTAGCTCGATGTATTTTTACTGTCAAAAATTTAAGTGATGATGTCAAAAACTACTTCACGTCTAACTATGAAATTTAAAACTCAATAAATGGTATAGATTGAACAGATCTACATAGGAATGAAATTTTTGAGAATGGATTGTCGATAATGTATTACAAGATGTACTATTTTTTATGCTTTAAAATCTTTATTCTTTTCACATCTATACATCTTGATATCCAAATGATCAATTATAGGGTTTTTCAGTATCAAAACAATCATTTGGATGGATTTTTTATGGGTGACTTTTTTTTATAATTTATATGTACTTTTGCCTTGATTTATTGAGCTCTTATAATATAGGCTCCTCTAGGAGCACATTAGATATCCATTTCTTGAGAACCTGCTTTAGAGGGTTTTTTGAATTTGACATTTTGGAAACCAAGTAAGATTCACTAGATGATTATTTTCAAAAGAAAAAATTTTAATTTTAGGTTTTTCAACACTTGGATCTCATCTTCAAAAATTATATCTCTATTTTAAATCTCGAGACATTATTTTTTTGAAATACATTTTTGGATAGTCTGTATTCAATCTCGAGACATTATCTTTTTGAAGTGCATAGCTAAGCCTTTGGAGATATTCTCAAGTTTCGATTAGGTGCACGTATTATACTCCTGTGGGATCATAAGCAGAAGACTAACTTGTAAATATTTTTTGATATGCAATTCTAGAAAACATCTAAGATCACTAGATGATTATATCAAAATGAAAAAAAAAAAAAATATTTGAATTTTGAGTTTTTTTAGCACTTAGATCTCACTAAAAAATTGGACAATTTCTATTGAATCTTGAGGCATCAATTTTTTCAAGCGCATCGAGAAGGCCATTTGAACAAAAAAATTATTTAGTACCCAATATAGGTTGAAGAAGTTAAATCTCCAAAAATTGAGGACTTAAAAATACTCGAAGGAGTAAATGGGCAGTATGCTTCTTTCGAAGCAGTAAATGGGCAGTATGCTTCTTTCGAAGGAGTAAATGGGCAGTATGCTTCTCCCAGTTATTTCGAAGCATAGTTTTACCCGAAGGAGTAAATGGGCAGTATGCTTCTTTCGAAGCATGAAATCTTCTGCCCCAGTTATTACGTCAAACCCATGCTGTAGGCTCTGACACGGTGCACAAGCACTTTTTAATGGTTCTAATTGAACCAGCGTCTTCTAAAGGTCAAAATTGAATTTTATTTTTTATTTTAGATTTTTTTGTTTAAAAATAATGTTAATATAAAATTTGGGCTTTAGCTTATTTTTATGTTTATTGAATAAAAACAAACAAAATATTTTGCATAAAAATATTGATCAAAATAAATATAGGGGTGTTTTAGTTTTTATTTAAATTATTTATATTTAGCTATATTTATAAAAATGTATATAACCCAAAATTCAGATAAAGTATAAAAATTAAAACATAAAACTGATTGTTGGCCGTTGGATACTGTGAAATCTCAACTTGCCCGTCCACATGATAAGGACGGGATGAGTTTTCCTCTACGAAGACGATTGTTCCTGAATTGCAACTTGCTTTTAGAATTCCATGGCTATTGGGCAAATTAGACTGGGCTTAGTTTCCGTATGAAATGCTTCATTTCAGTCTATATCACTCCATGCGCATGGATGGTCGGGATCTATTTTCCTTATTAACCGTTTAATCTGAACCTGAAAGTCAGATTAAGAAGTGATGGCAAACTTTTAAAACAAACAATATCAGTGAAGGAGACTTCCTACTAGACTCTAATTTTAAACCATTGAACCCATCCCAGGTACCATTTCAAGACATTATCAAGGGATAAATACACTGTAGTGATAATCACACAAAATGAATTTTGTATTATTTAATCAGTCCTAACAATGATCCATAAACATTGCAATTTCGAAATGAAGGCTTTGAAGATCTCTAACGGCAGATGAAAACCTCCGAATAAGTTCATTTTGCATGTTTTTACTTATAAAAACCATGTATTTTCTCTCTTCGTTTCTCACTAAAAACTAAACTTTGAATTAATGAGCTGAACAAAGAAGTGGAGCACTAATGGTTAAAAGTTAACAAATCATTTCGCCTTCTGATGATATTTGTGTTTTCATCCAGGACGTTGTTTTGGACTTCAGTTACTTCCTACTGATATGTATTTTATCCAAAATCCAATGACTTGCTCTTTTTAAATGTAGTATGCTTGATTATCATCTGGAGACATCTTTGCTGCCTTTTGCTTGCATTGGATTTAGAAGGTGGCAGAAAATCTGTTTCATTTTCGTTTGTTCCTGCGTTTGGGGGCACAAGAAACATCATCTATGTGCACAGAAGTCTTTTTTTGGGTGAATTGCACAGAAAATCTTTGTCACTGGTAGTAACATAACTTGCTGTAACATAAAATATTTTACAGCAATTTAGAGTATTCCCAGCCAGTTTCTCAAGGCTCAATTTTGGAGGGACTCCAGTTCTTAGGCCACACCGTCATCTTATTGTTATCCTTTTACTAAGTACTATGCTTTATGTGGTTACTTGTATTGAATATCTTGTATATCAAAACTTATCATAAAAAGTATCAATATTGTACATTGCCAAAACCTAACTGGGCTGCTTATTAGTAAACTGCTATTTATCTCCAGCAAAATTAAAGTGATTCATATTTCATCTTCTTTTTTTTCTTTTTTGGTAGACTACAGTGGGTGGTCTTGGACCTTATGATGTAAATCCACGTCTTGTTTATCATTATGGGATACCAGAAGGATCTGAAACTTTAGCTTTGGACTCTATTCAGAATATTCTTGCGATTTCTACCAAGTAAGTATTTTGCGTACATGACCATGGCATGGCTTTAGCAATGATATTAATCTTTCTTCTTCCTCCAGTTATCAAGGATGTTTGGACCACTTTGTGTACAATAAATGACTTGTTATGGAACTAAATTCAAAAAAAGATGTCCACAAATGCAGATAGAAAATGGGTGCATTGGAGATAAACACTATACTAACATTATAGGGTATTCATGCAATTTCTACCAAGTAATTGCTTCTCTTACCAGTGTAATATGCATGTAGCAGTGACATTAGTCTTTCTTCTAATTTGCTTCATTATCAGAGATGATTTATTGTGCTTTGCATATAAGCAAGGGAAATTTATTAAAGTACCCGTACGAGATCAACTGTTCAATACTTTACCCAATTGCAACTATTCGAAGTCATCAACATGTGTATTTTGATGGGTATTTTGAAATACCAAAAGATATTGGCAGAATGTCAGATAACTCATCTCTCATGGCATTTTGGATAACTTTCCTTATAATCGATGGCTTGTTATGGATTTAAATTTAATTGAAGATGGCCACAGAATGCAGATATGTAATAGGTAGACTGGATAAATAATAGCATAGGTTTTGTTTGGAAAGGTGACCACAACATGAACATCTTTGACTTTTGGTGCATAAATTGCTATGGCTGACTGAGTTAGACAATACCTGAAGTACTTTGTTTCAGTTGATAACTGCAAAGTTACCTAAAATTCATTTCAATAATTATTTCAGTAGGATACACTTGACTAGTCTCCTCCATAGATAAGCCTTGCAATTTGCACATATTTGTTCTCGGAGCTTCACGTTACAGTTCTCTCATGAATTGCTTAATGCATCAAATTTTGTTGGAGGACCTGAATATTTGCATATGAGGATCTATGTTTTCTAGGCTGTCAATTGGAGCTGATGAACCTTGTTTCTTACAGGGATGGTCGAATCAAATTGGTTGGTGTAGATCAAGCTCAAGTTTTACTGGAGTCTACTGAAGGAGCCCCTAGCAAGTTTCTTCAGGTTTTCCATCTATTTTAATCTGCAAAAAACTACATTAGTAAAAATGTCTCATAACCACCGCCCATTGATAGGCACCTCATGGTTTGCTTCGTTTTATTGCTTATTACTTGTTCTTCATATCAAGTAATGGAGTGTTTTTTTTCCCTAGCTTGTTATGTTAAAATGTTTTGTATTTTTCTTGACTATTTGCCTCCATTTCTTTATCTATTAAGATGACATTAAGTTCACCATTTCCTTATAACTCCTGGCCCGTTCCAAATGATTGGGGCATTTCTCAGTTACACAATGAAGACGGCCTAGGAAAAGCTGAGTCGAATTTCTTCTGCATGATCTGTTTTTTCCAAATTAATTTCCCAAAAGTAAGTTATACATGATATTCCAAGGCCATGACCTTGGTTTAGGAGAAGAATGAATAGATAGCTATAACCTCATTAGAAAAATTGATGGACTAGAGCTACCAGATGTGGTAGGTACCCGGCGGGAGACAATATTGAGTGATATGAAGTCTGCATTCTTGTAATCATAATTGCGATATTGAAATCATCATTTAGCGAAATGCAATTTAGCAATCAAAATTTTGACATTGGAAACAATATTAGTTGCATTATATGAAAGCTATTAGTTTTTATTGTATAAAAGCTAGTAAATCATTGTAGGGGGTTATTTCTGTGCGCATCTTTGTCTTTGCCACCGTCAAGTATTATTTTCTATTCTTGAGGAAGTTTCCATTGCTTTTTCATGGAAATCATTTTATCATTTTTCTATGTAGTTATTGTCTTCCTTTGGTAGTCCATGTCATCAGTACAACCATTCATGTTAGCTCTCATAACTTATAGTGTGTTTTGAATTGCTTGAAAACTGAATCACAGTGTCATGCTGTCATGGAAAGGGACATCGTATATTATTTTGAAAAGCTAGAACCTCTTTCTAGCTATTGCCCAAATGCCACTACAGTACCGTTGGCTTTCTTTTTTACAGGATTTTTTTCCTAACCTGTTGCAAACAAAGCATTGTTACTCTGATCTCATCATTCACTTGTGACTTGACAGTTTCTGGAGAATCAAGGAATCCTCTTGAATGTAACCACCAAAAATCAAATCGAGGTAAGTCCCTTCTAATTAATCAGTCGTTACGCAGAACCAACCATAACAAAAGCAAGTGCTTTGATGTGAGGTGGATTTTTGAACCATGTATATTCCGTAACTGCTGTTTTAGCCTTTCTTAGTAATCAGAAGAGAATGTGTTCTGAAAGGACTCTTGAAAAGTTTCACATTATTGATATATAAATTTATAATAAAAAAACTTGATAGCTTCGAGATTGATATGATACTCAGAATGAGGCGTATAACTGAAACCAATACAAACACAAACAACAATAGGTATGTTGGATTTTGATTCCAAAGATTCTGTTCCGAGTTTCTGCTCAAGGATTTCCATATCTTGTCTTGGAATGTGGCTGAACTTTGATGGTTTGCTATTTTTAGCCTTTGATAAATGTGCTCCAACTCTCTATGTTGATTGTTTTGATTCAATGAATGCATCTAAAATATTTGCAAAAGTGAGTTTGAATACTCCATGGAGCTGCCCCTCTTTGGAGATATTTAAGAGCTTTGAAAATGATAGTTAGTATTCGTCTTTTGTCTCTCCAATTTGAAGTTGGTGATATAGTCTTTCAAAGATTTTCCTTTAATCTTACAGGCTGAAATCTATTGACCAGGATAATTCATTAAAAAATGTATTGATGATATACATCAAACAGTTTACCTCTGGTATGAGAAATCCACAATCACCCCTAGGGTGTGCTATTGACTGTGCACAAAGTATTAAAAAAATTTCTTCGACTCTTTGAGGAGAAATGACGCATCTCTAACCACCTGGTTTCACATATAATGGCTAGGGGTTATTGTGGCATGTAACCTAATACCCACTTGGTGATTGACCCTGCCAAAAGCAGTATCTTTTGTTGTAATGGAACTTTGCCTTTTAAACAAAGTGACAATACTTCTTTGCTTATTGGGTGCATCCATTGTCTGCTTCCAATCTTTTCTGTACTATCTACAGGGACTAGAATTTGATGTTTAGTCGTTGGAGTTGTAGGTATGGGACATTGACAAGAAGGAATTGTCTTTCATGTACACTTTCGAGGAAGAAATAACCTCATTTACGGTCATACAAGGAAGTCACTTTATGTGAGCAGCTGTGAAGTTTAAGTTGGTTGCAGTTCTAAGAAAGTTTTATGAGTAAAAAGGGATTGAATTAAGAGGTGACTCTTTGAAATTGTAGGTATATTGGTAACTCCCTGGGAAACATTTCAGTCATGAAGTTTGATAGAGAATCTTGCCAGCTCATACACATGCAGTATACTATTCCTTTGTCAGCATCTCGGGGTAAGAAGCATCATCATTTTTGTTAACTTTTATCTCATCTAGATTAAGTCCATATTTTATTAAAGTGTGAAAAATGTCAACTGTTATCTTTAATTAAGAATCTTGTGGTCAAAATTATCAAATAGTTTAAAAAAGAAAATTTGTCAAGATCAAATTTATTTTTTCAAAGGGATCCAAGCAAATTGGTGCATTTGGTACTTTACGTCATGCTTAGTTCAAGTCTCTCACAGAGTTGAATAAAGCTAGATATTTTGTAGGATCCAACGAATTGGTGCATGTAGCCGAGCTATGCAAGCATGGTTCAACTCACTTCTATGAGTTTTTGTGACTATAGATATCATCTTATGCTTATCTTTAAGTATGACTAGGATCTTTATAAGCTCATACTGATATTCATAATTGTTATGACTTTAAAGGATTTGAACAGAGCTCCATGTACTCATTTTCTAAAAATTTAATATATGTCTTTCCTTTCAATTTTACAATGCATGTGTCAGTCAATTATGATGGATGATTCTTCCCTGGAACTTATTTTGTAATTTATCACTTCTATACTACATTGCAATTCATGTTTTCAATATGTAATTATAGGAATGTGTTTGTATAGGGTCAATGTCTGAAACCTCTGAAGACACTTCCGTAGCTTATATACTGCCTCAGCCTTTGGCTGAAACTCGGAGGTAAAGTCATTTTATTGTGCTTCTCTTACTATGGAATGTGTATCCTCCAAGTTTGTATGAAGTCTTTGAATTAAGCATTTTTATGACTAAAAACCCTTCCACGTAACATTCTTGTAGGAAATAGCATGATAAACCAACTTACTAACCTTATGTAGATCTCTTTAACTAGCATAGCATGCATAGGATTTGAGTTGATTTCTTAAAATCCCTGGACAGAAAGAAAATAGAGTAGGTTTCACAAGCAGTTCTTTCTTGCATGGGCTTGCACCAGCATGGTGAGCTTTTATTTAGGGGAAATGTCTGTTAGTGTTTTCTTTTTTTTTTTTTTCTACAAATCGGAATGACCTGAAATTTGGAGGGTATGTACATCTTACTGAGGCGCATCTAATAAAAATATAAAAAAAATTATCTGCGAAAAAAATTGGCCAAAATGCCCCCCAAACTTTTCGAATGTATTTTGGTCAATTCTTTTCATGTAAAATATTTTTTTTATATTTTTCAAAAATTCCCCTATTTTTTATGAATATAAGCTCCAAATTTCAGGTTAGTCCGATTTGTAAAAAACAACAAAAAATGAAACACTACCGGACAATCGTGACAGCGCGATGAACTTTAGACGGTGATGGGGGTAGGCAAAATCACTGCTCATTATCGCCTATAGGCGTTGGGTAGTGTTTTTCATATATATATATATATATATATATAATCATCCATTTTCTAAATTTCATTGGATCTGATCATCATCATATATATATATATATATATATTATCCGTCCGTTTTCAAATTTCATTGGATATGATCATCATGCTAATGTTGGCACCATCTGTGTGGGCAATGGGAGTCCATCTGTTTTAAAAAATTGATGCAGGAATTGCATTTCTATGGGCATAAATCTTGAAGATATGTTGAGGTGCTATGGGCTTTGTCTTTGACTCAGCTAGTATATCTCAACTAATTTGATCAACATTGTAAATGAGACACTTCTAATAAAGGAATTGATTCCTTGAACACTAGATGACATATTAGGCTTTTTCGATCGAAATCCATATAGAAGAAAATAATTCTTTTCATCTGTCAAATGCATAAAAAAAGCCTGGATAATGAGATTTCTATACCTAGCTTTCAGCATAAGTAAAACTTATGAACCCCATAAAAGCCCATAACATTTACTTTTAGGAATTGAACCAATGGATGTTCTAATAGACCTTGCAAGAAACTCTTCACTCTTAAGTACACATACCAGTCCCAATACCTACTTAGATACTTGATTGGAAGTAATATTCTTGTTTCTCAATGACTAAAATCCCAGTTGCAGATAGTTTGCAGCAACAAAGTAGATATCTTGTCTCGTAAAATTATTCACATGGACCACTCATGGAATATGCTTATTCCCAAGTAATTGCTTCACCTCAAGATTTGCACATAATTATTTGGAGGACATACCCTTGCAGGTTTACAAAAATTTGTGGTCGATCCATGTGGTTTGCATACATTTCTTATCATAACATCTATGTAGATCCTCATTTTTCAGGACTCTTGTAATTTTCGGAAGCAGTCGTATCATTGTTTGGGATACCATGGAGAGCAAAGTCATTGCCGTGAATGGTAGCAGCTCACTACAGTCCTGTCATGAATCAAACAAGAGAGTAACTTCTGCATGTTGGGCCTGTCCTGTTGGAACTAAAGTTGTTGTTGGTTATAGCAGTGGAGAAATTTGCCTTTGGAGTATCCCACCAAGTTCAACTCCAACATTTGCCCCTTCCGGGAATAAAAATGAGCGCCTTAATAATCAAATTTTGCCTTTGTCAAAACTTAATCTTGGTTACAAGATGGACAAAGTTCCGATTGTTTCATTGAAGTGGGTTCCAGGAGATGAAAGAGGGAGTTGTTTATATGTTAATGGCGTTACCGGTTGTGGCACTTCAAGCTCCTTTCAGGTATCCATCTTGTTTCTCTGGTTTTGTTTTGATGAATTATTGCAGTTTGCTTTATAAGATTAGTCTCTTCGTTTTCATTTTCACCTGATATTCCTTGAAAGAGGAATAAATATTCTTGAAAATTCTGTAATAAATATTCTCTTTTTTTCGTTGCAATTAGTTCCTGCAATACTTAGTAAATCGGGGTTGCTATGACTTTATATTTGTTAGTTTCATCATGGATATGTAGCAAGAAAATCTCTCCAAATTTACTCATATGGATTTAGTTGGAAGTAAGTTACATACTATTCATATGCTTTTCTTATGTTCAGTCATCAGATTCAATGGTTTGTGCATTGCATGAGAACAAAGAAGCTATGCATCCCAAAAGTATATGAAAACTCTTCTTGTAGTGTCTCCCCTCAAATATAAAATGAATAATAACACGTTGAAGACTAACAATATGCTCGTGATGCATTTATTACGGTACTTGGTATCTTCCTTGCACATGTATTTCATTACTCTCAATATTTAAATTATACTTCATTTTTCATGGATGTCGATTGCCATGCAGATAATTATTCTGAAGGAAAGCAATGACTCTCGTACAATTAAGTTGGAGCTTCCTTTGCCAGAGCATTGTGTAGATATGGAAATCCTTTCAAATAGTACTGGTAGAAACAAACATCTAGAAGATGCTCTTTTGATACTATTAAAATCAGGTCATATGCTTGTCTATGACGAGTCTGATATTAAACGGTATCTATTTCAATCTCAGTCTAAGTCACCCCCACCAATCCCAAAGCAGGTAAAGGTAAAGCTCCCACTCAGTGATTCAAGCATCACAGTTGCAAAATTTATCTCGGACAATTCAGTTTTCTCAAGTTCGTTAGTGGAGGTAAAAGCATTTTATTTTAATAATAATTCAATATTTATCAATGTCTAGTTATTTAAAAATGCTTAGTTATGGAGTGGATTATGGTCCTTTCCCTTTCCATTTCTTGTAGGGGCCAGCCTACAAATTGCCTCCATTTCTTCCTTTGGGTACAAAGTCAAAAGATGGAAGAAGTTTGAATTGTTCTAACTTTGGTGGATTTACAAAGATAAAAAAATTGTACATAACAGGGCACATTAATGGAGATGTAAACTTTTGGGATGCCTCATATCCATTGTTCCAGATGATCTTATCGATAAAACTACAGGTACATTTTTTTTAATTGCGCAATTAGCCATTGTAAAACGTTTCAAAAAATCATGACAAAATAATTTCTTATTTCTAATAAAATTTTACTGGATAGGTAAAAATCTGTATGTTGTTTTATTAAGCTCCCACCGTGAGTGTTTGTATACAATCAGATATCCAAGGGGATTAAAAGAAGAGAAAAAGCATTGTTGTGTAATACGTTTGTTGTGGAATATGTTTATTTTTACATAGTGTCAAGGAATATCAGATCAAATTTTGGGGATTCTGTCCAATTTGCAATTGGATAACAGTTGTTTGTTGAATAAATCAAATTTCTGATTGAATAACATAGTTTGCTTCATTCTGATATTGTGTCCAAGACTCTGAACCCAGGCTCCGATATCTTGAAACAGAGCGAAGAAGAAAATAAACTCAGGTGGTATTCCTATTACTGCATTGGAGTTTGATATTGATTCTCGAGTTCTAGTCACTGGTGATCAGGTTGGAACGGTAAGGACCCAGTCTTCATTGACATTTTTATTTTATTCAAGTGATATTCTTTTAATATATTGCTTCACTCATAAAAGCATTAGGGATCCTATACATGTAAATTGTTTAGAAAGATATGTGAAGCATTGATGGGCTTTGTTCTTTGTACCCAGGTTCACATATTTAGCTTCAAACCCGATCAATTTATTGAAAAGGCCAAAGGCAACCCTTTATTCATCCGGGGTATGTTTAAATTCTCTCTTCTCTCTCTCTCTCTCTCAACACACGCACACACATGCACATGCACACACAAAAAACTCACACATGTTAGTAATGCCTCACTCCCCTCTCTGTCTCTTTCTGAAGATTAGTGCCGCATTCCCCTATTTTGACTGCATGCCTAGAATGACCAAAATATCCTACTCTCCTCTCTCTATTGCATCCTGAACAGTTTCTAAGTTATAAAACATGTTGACTTGCCAGTGGTTAAAGATGGGAGTCTTCTGAAGACTTGCTAGTCCTAAGTTTTACTCGAGTCAGACGTCTTACCAGAGTTTTTACTTGATTCGGTATAAAACCCTATTTTCTGTGTCATATCCATATTTTACTTGAATGAGACCTGATAAGTCGATTTGGCTCAAAACACATCAAGCAATGACCTGAGTCTTTTGTTTTCAAATGTGGTTACAAACTCTTCATTAAGATTAGATTTTCCTTCTCCATGTTTCTTTCTTGATTCTACATATATTTACATAAATGTATTCAAGTCTCAATATTATCTGATTTTGTGATGGTGAATTCAAAGTCGGGATATGATCATGTCATGGAAAGTAAATGTATTCAAGTCTCAATGGTATCTGATTTTGTGACAGTGAATTCAAAGTCGGGATATGATTATGTCATGGAAAGTAAATGTATTCAAGTCTCGATATTATCTGATTTTGTGACAGTGAATTCAAAGTCAGGATATGATCACGTCATGGAAAGTGTTAAAGTTATAAAGGCTCACAAGAGGTCCATACTTTCCATCTGCTTGAACTGCAGCTCAAAACGTCTTGTGGTTGGGTGTGATGAAGGATATGTAAGTCTTGATGTTTAAATTCTAAACTATATCTACTGCTTTAGATTGAACTCCACTGTTACAACTAAAAACTAAAAATAAATCTTCTGATACCTTGGGAAGGCCATGTTTTTGTATATCTATGTTCTTCTTTCTCTTCTTAACTGGTATGCTTGAAATGGGGGTGTGCATTTTGGTCCACAGCTCTATTTTTATTGCACTGGTGTACGGGCTTAGCTAATAAGGTGGCTGTGTTGCTTGTGTGGCAATTAAATTTTATAAAATGGACTTTACCATTAAAATTTATAATATAGGACAGCAGTATTAGAGACTAGCAAAAAGACTTCAACCCAACAGGGTTATTGCATACAATAACATATCATAACTTTGCAAAATTCTGTCGAAGCTTATCGAAGACATCTGAAAATTAAGATATTATTTAATTGAAGACGGAAAATGTCAGTTACTGTTGGAAAGCATTGGGTGAAGTAGCTTTCCACTGAGTGCATTGAATCACTGGAAAAGAAGGCAGTCTCTTGGAATGGATGGAGAATAGGAATGACATCAGTACACAAAAGAAGTATTAAAGTACTATTTATGTACCATATAAATCGTAAGAATTTTGAAATGACGATAAGTGGCATCAGTGTTGGAGTTTCAAATGGAGTGGATAACCTTGTGATTAGTGTGATGAGCTTTATCAAATATATCCCGATGACACTTGCATTGGTAGAATATGGCTACATGATGAATAAGCCAGCTCAATTCCATCAGAATAGCATAAGATGCCAAGAATTTTATTTTGAAATGGTAAACTGTCTGATCCATTATCACGGCTATGTCCTAAGTATTATTTCATGAACATAGAATGCAAGAATGTAAGAACCACAGTTACCTACAAGCAGATCAAGAAATTCAAGGGATCAGCATTTGAATTAATTGTGAAATGAAATAGTTCAAAACCTCTCAAATTGACCACTGGGGGGACCTGTTTGGGCTCCATCTGTTATCATCTGCCAACAAGAGCGAATGTCTCCTTGTAGTGTATTCGTGGTTTTATCCCTCATCCACCAACTGATTTTCATACTACTCAAGAGTTAAGGACAACATATCTATTGTATCTAGCAGCAATCTAAATGGCTTTCCCCCTCCAATAGTCAGGTTTTTTTTGTTCAATTTCTGTAAAATGTGCATCCTTCTTTTGTGGCTAAGAACAAGCTTGTGTTGAAGCCTGATGATAGGTGGATGGTTTGTGGAAGTAGATGAGGTTAAAATCTACGCGTGGATGTAGGAAACAAACCCACCTTATTTTTATTTTTTTTTTAAACTGTTAACTGTTGCAAAGCCACCATATTAAGAATCAAAGAGGGAAGATGGACTACCTTTTGTCAGTAGGAGTGTATATTGTGTCTAGTTGAGAAGCTGTTGGTAAGGTGGGGGTTTTGTGCCCAGTTGCATGGTTCAATTGTGAGAATTAGTCTGATTGTGAGAACCCTTATAGAGTATAGCCAAACAGAAGTACGCAAAGATGCAGAGAAGAAGGCTGATGTCTCAGAAGATGATTGAGAGACCAAAGAGAGACTCATGGAGTAGGCTATGGGCTTTACAGCTCACATCAATTTGGCAGGCTAGTAACAAGCCATGAAATAATGAGCGAATGAGGAGTATAACACTTAAAATCATTTTTGAGAGAGAAAAGCATTTTGTTCACACATTTCAAAAATAACAATAATAGCTTTTCTGTTCTAGAGCATAACCAAGAACTGAACATCATCATAGCTTTTCCGTTCTAGATCATAACCAAGAACTACACCATGATTCAAAAAAATCCTTTATTGCGCAATTATGAGTGGAAAGAAAAAACAATGCCAATTACAGCGAGAATGACAAAAATAACTAAAATAAGGATGTGATCCATAATGTGAAGAATTTGGAGTCTTTCCAAAGAGTAATCTTGAACATGGAGTTGATAAGATAACTGCAGCAGAGTGGACTTCAGCCTTGAAAATGCAACATACATGTTAGAGAGAAAGATGGTTCAACAAAATTTTCAAGATTAGAAAGATTTGTTAAACTTTATTAGTAAATCTCAAATTGTTTCATAGGGAGATTTGAAAAATATTTAATATTTCTACAATCATATTTCCAACAATGGTCTGGCATAGGGATTCTTATGCTGTTTGAATACCATAACCAGAGCATACATTTCTCACTTTGCTTATATCCTAGAACATTTGTTCTGATAATTTGATAATGATTGATTATATTTAAGTAATTAAAATGTTTTTTTTCTCATTTTAAAATTTTTTTAGGTGTGCTTACTTTATCCTTATATCTGTCTAGGTATCACTGATTGATATGGAAGGGCCAACTCTATTATCTCAAAAATGCTTTTCAAGTGAGTCATCCACTAGTATATTGGCCCTACAGATGAGAAAATACGATCTTTGTGGTTCACAAAAAGAGGTTCTATTTGTAGCCTTAGAAGATGCTTCAATTTTTGCACTTGATAGCGACACCGGAGGTGTCTTAAGCGTCAACGGTATTCGTCCTAGTAAGCCCACTAGAGCTGTATATATGAGCATCTTAGGTAATTTTTATCCGTACTTGTCATTTTTTCTTCGTGATATTCTTCAATTTTCATGAAAACTTTAAACTATCAATGAAGTAGCATATACAATAAGTTACGACTTATACAGGTAGGCACGATGCATCTAACAAAGAATCACACCCATCAAGTAATCCAGGATTGCACCAAGAGCACTCCGTTCAGGATACCAAATCAGAGGCTTCATTGTTACTGTTGTGTTCTGAAAAGTCTGTCCGTCTTTATTCCATAGCGCACATAATTCAGGTAACTGATGCATATGTATAACCGAATACCTTGGTGTAACATATTGAGTATGACATGCACATGCTTTTCTCTTGCATGTTTTGTAGAATGATTGTTACCTAGTAAACTGTGTTCTTATGCTCTTAGGGAGTGAAAAAGGTATATCTGAAAGAAAAGCTTCATGGAACCTGTTGCTGGGCATCAACGTTTTGTTCCAATTCAATTGTGGGCCTAATGCTTCTTTTTACAAGTGGCAAAATGGAGATAAGGTGAGAGAATATGGCTTACCACTTGCTTTTGATGTCAAATCAAGGCATTTCACTTTTGATGTTCAATCGATGAATTTCATATAACTTAAGACATCCAAAAGAAACTAGTTTCTTAAGTTATGGTTTTGAAATAGTGTGATCCGTATGCAATGTTTATTTATCCGGATTCCCATTTTTCTGTTACATATTTTCTTTCCACAGCATCAGCTTGTCATGATATCAGAAAATCATGATGGTGAAACTACCTGAAGTTAGAATTAGATGTTTTCATGCACTCTATTTTGGGTCAATATAAATATCCTTTTATTTTGCTTGGTAGATAGTGTATTTGGCTCATTCTAACAGTTTCCCTCTTGCTTTTTGTACTTCAATGAAAATTGATATACATTTGACGTCAAATTTCCAGTAAAGTTGTAAAATAATGATATACATTTGACATCAAATTTCCAGTGAAGTTGTAGAATAATGCTAAGATAGCTACACAAAATCTAGTTTGCATGTACAAAGGTACTAGTTTTGAGTATGCTACAATATCCGTTCAAGGGACACTTTCCAAAATCTTGTACCTGTATGAAATGCCTGCCAATCAACAATGGAAACTGACTCTATCACAACAAAATTAATTTGCTTGTCTTTGGATAATGGCCGCAAAAATGAGGCTGTGAAAAAGTACACGTGCATGCACACACACACACACACACATGACCAGAGATACTTCCGTATGTTTCATCAACCATGGTTAATTTCCATAGACTATCTAGACCCTTCTATACTTTTTGAGCTCATTCTGCATCATTAACAATTTTCATGATTTTAGACATGTTTGTGTTCACAACCATCTTAATTTTCATTTTCTCAAAAATTACAGATCCCTCCCAGACTTATCCCTCCAAAAAATGACTTCAATAAGAGGTTTTCCATTTTGTGATTCAAGAAGAAAATCAAATGCCAAAAGTTCATTATGCTCTTCATCTGAAGGTGAAGTTGTTCTGGTGAGTTGGTGAAGTATTGACTTTATATGGAAGTATAGCAAAGTGCATTCTTATTTCTTATTCCTGCAGTAAATTATCTGTTCCTTTCTATGACAGGTGAATGGAGATCAAGAAATTTTCTTCTTTTCAGTTTTGCCCAAAACACATGCATATAGGTGCGTTCATTTAGACTAACTTAGTTTATCTATTTTGTCATGTCTATTTTTTTTAACTTCTTTGTAGCAGGAATTCCTGGAAAACTGGACTGCCCTTGTGGTTTTGGTAGCTCTTCAGAAAAGCAGTTTTGTCCTTGTAGAATAGTTCCTAAAGTGGATATCTCCTGAGTTTACATATTTAAGAGTTATTTCTCTTTGTTGTCTTATAACATTACTCTTTGCAGAGAAATACTTAATGTTTATTCATCTCGACTGCAACACTCTTAACACATGCTGCAAATTTGTATTGTCCACTTTTTCAGTCTTTTAGGGTCATTCAATGAAGTATACAAGAAAAATTTCAGCCCTCCTCAGGAGCACATCTTTGTCAACATCCCTCAGAAAGAAAAGAAGAAGGTAATCATCAAATTCCTGAAATTGCTGGTACAAATCTGAGGATGTTCACATTGTGACTTAAAACTTAATTTGAATCCAGGGTCTGGTTAACTCAATTATTCAAGAGATTAAAGGCAGTAAGGCAAGGAAATCTCAAGACTCTGAAGATATAGAAGCCTTGGTGAGTTGTGAACAACAAGATCTTGCTGTTATTTTCTCAACATGTAACTTCCCTCCAGTTTCGGGGGATGGAGAGAGATTAGCTGCTAATGGAGATTATGGTGACTTAGACATAGGTATTCTGCTTTCTTACATATTTGTTGCTTGAACTGTATTGTGACACTTTTTGGATAATTGTTTTGGTTAGTCTTTTACGGGTTGGTTATGTCTTGTAAAGATGACATAGAAATTGAAGATCATGATGAGAACACTCTCAGTCAAAATGATTCAACATCAAATAAGCACAAGTTGAGCAGCAAATTTCATGCCATTAAAGGTTTGTACTTGCAACGAGATACTTAACTCTGTGCTATATTTAGTGAGCTTGTTATGTGATATCTCTCATCTACTGTTGGATAAGAGCATTGGGTAAGAGCGCTCCTAAAAATTTTTAATCAACTGACATTTTGGTGTATGGGTAAGCCTCTAGATCTCTTAAAGCCAAAAGAAACTCTTCCTATTTTCATAAAAAATATGTATACATAGTAGCTTTAAGGGACCTGCAAATTAATTAGTGGATGTTTCATTTGAGTTAAATGCTGATTATGGACAGGCAATATGACACCTTATGCCCTCATCTATATATTGAGCACCTATTTCATTTTTCTCTGACTCCCTCACAATGGGTCTGGGTCTCTTATGCCACCACCTCCTTTGAATTGTTGTCTCATGCATGTATTTAAATAGGATCGATCCTTGAGAGAAAGGAAATTGACTTAGATCCATTTATTGTTCAATATATCATTGTCCTATCTGAAACACATATGTGTGGACCTGAAACCAAGTGTTCTTGGGGTAACAAATAATCTTTATTTTCTTAAACTATATTAGAAACTTTGTGGTTGAGCTCCTCTGGTTACAAGATTGACCAATGTCTACCAATTTCAAATCCCATTTATCGTTGAATCATTACACTACTGTCCTGACTGAAATACATATCTATGCAACTGAAACCAAGGTTCTCTAGGTGAGAAAAATATTTTTATAACTAATGTCTACAAATTCCAAATCCCATTTATCATTGAATCATTACACTACTGTCTTGTCCGAAATACATATGTATGCACCTGAAACCAAGGTTCTCTCGGTGAGAAATATTTTTATTTATTGGTGTGTGAAATTCATATGATATAATTTATAGTTGAGCTCATCACAAATGAAGGGCCAGTTTGGATGGATCACTTATTTAAGATATTGTTGTTTCCCTGTCCTGCTTGCCTGAAATAATATCTCAAAAAAGTATTCGTTTAGCCCCGGTAACGTGAAAAAGGCCTGCCTACTTGGGAACAAAAGAAATGGAGAGAATCTATTTTTCCCTTACGTCAAAGTGATTCTAACGATCAATAAAATATAGGAGCATCCCAACTGAGCCTTACTTGTATGTATTTAAAAATAGAAACTGTTTATACATAGTGATTGTTATTTAGCAGAACAACTCTCCTTAAATGTCCTATTAGCCCAATGTTAATGGTGTCATATTAGGTAAACTGAAACCAAAGAAGACAAAGGATGCAAACCAGGTTCCTAAGGAGGAGCACGAGGAAAGTAAGCCCCTTGGAACTGTGGACCAGATAAAGAAGAGATATGGATACGCTGTTTCAAATGTGAGTATATACCAATTCAGCGGATCTCTCCCTTTCTTTCTTTTTTTAATCGAAGGTAAATTATCCAATGTCATATAATAATTCCATTGATTCAGATCTTCAAGCACATTAACATGCACTACGAAGTAACCAAAACTGTTATCTTAAATCACATTTATAAAAACAAAAGGCACAAAACACCTTTATAGGTTCCCCATTAATCAGTTCATGTGAATGTGTTGTGCAGGATTCAAATGCTCCCAAACTTGCACAAAGCAAGCTTGTAGAGAATTTGCAAAAAGTACAGGTATGCTATTAATTTCCTAATTGAGCAATATATTTTGTTTTTCTCCACTTTCCTAGCTATTAGACATTGTCAACCAGTATTCTTGTTTCTATGGCGCACATATACTAAGCCTTGAGCCAAGGAAGAATACACCATACCCCACTGGCATGTGGTTTATGATCACCTGCTGTCCATTTCCGATGATGAACGGTGGATCTTTGGTCATAGTTCCTAATGAGAAATGACAGGGAATGGTTGATCTACACCATATGTCATCAAGAATGAACAGTGGATTCCCTGTTGTATACAATATAACAACAGAAAAGAGTTTTTTTGAAGTTCCCAAAGCTAGAATTATCATACATTGTTACCAGATGAAAGTGAATCTGCTGAGAATAGTGGCCCTATGTCATTTTCTCACTGTCCTCTTTAAGGTTCTACTCTTGATGGCTTAGTTGGACATTAGCTTTTTGTTAGTCTGATGTATTTGTTTGAATTATGGAAGGGAATCAACACACGAACGGCTGAGATGCAAAATGATGCTCGATCTTTCTCAGCTATGGCAAATCAGGTGCTAAAGATAGCAGAGTATGGAAGAAGGAGCTCATGAGCCTTTTGGCACTCTTGTGCAGTGTATATATATTTTGTGGTGGAATATAGCTCTAAGTGTGATGGGAATGTGTATAGTAAATTGCTATTTTTTATCATTCATGAGTATAGAATCTATGTGACTAAAATTTGAAATGTGTTCGTGTTTGTTTTCAGAAAAATAAATCAATTTATCACTGAATGGAAATCTTTTGTGGTATTTATTTGTGACATTTTATGAATGAATAATGACTATTTAATTTGTGATCTTTCATATATCCCGATCATTTAGTTTCTCATTACTGCAAATCTAGGTTCGAAATATAGTATAAATATCCATAGTGCAGAGGGGCCGATATTTAGATACAATTGTATCAGCCGATTTATGGACATAAACTTGAAAAAATAAAATGGGTGTGCTATTTTTTATTTATTATTGAATTATGAGTTAAAGAAATGAATCTCTGAATGACCACAGCTAAAAAGTCTATCATATCCTTTATAAATGCTTTTCGTTTTCTTTTAGAAAAAATATTTCTTCATCCATTCTGAATCCACTTTTTTCAAGATATGATAGACTTTCTAGCTGTGGTCATTCAGTGATTCATTTTCTAAAGGAAAAATAGCAATTATTGTTATATTCAATTTGAAAAAAAAAATAATTGCGGGTGACGGGGTAGTGAGCAATCTAATTTGTGCAGCACCACATAAACGATCACTTGCCTCACTTGCCTAGAAATAAGGGGCAAAAAGTCATAATAAGCCCTGCTTTAATGTTAGAATTGTAGACCTTCAGCCTTAGAATAGGCTAACTTCGGACTTCGGCCTTCCAAACCTTTGTTTTTTTTTTTTTCCTTTTTTCTTATCCTTTTTTTTCCTTTTTTTTGCCTTTTTTTCTCTTTTTTTTTTAATCTCTAACTTCTCTCTCTGGAGGGGGTGTCCACTCTTCTTCGTTATATCTCATCGTGAATCTATACCCCACTTCGTGAAGCAAAACTTCTATTACTGTTCTATATGAATACCAGTTGTTTGCAAAACTGCAAAAAAAAATTGAATATGGTTTCCAAAGGTTGAATATGGGTTTCCAGTTTAACTATTGACGTTTGTCTATTGGGTTATTTTTTGTATAGGGCTGAGGCCATAAACAATCAAACTAAGGCACACTTTCAAAGAGTATTGAAACATGTTTTTCCAGTACTATGAATATTTATGATGATGGCCTAACAATTGATTTTTATATTTAATTATAAAATTTTAAAGCGTCAAAAATAATGTAGATCGAACAGATTTAGAAACACTTAGAAATCTTGAAAATTGATGGTCCAAACACTGCATTACAAGATGCACTATTTTCAATACTTTAAATCTATGTTTTTCATATCCATTCATCTTGAAGTTGAAATGATCGATTTGAAAAATTTTGGGCATGAAAACAACTTCCTATATAAACTTTATCCCTCTCTAGGTAGTTGAATGTGGGTTCTGCAGAATGGTTGAAAGTACTCCACGGTATTTTATTTTTTCTTTTCTTTTTTTCTTCTTTTCAGTATGTTGGTGCTAGTTGAACACAGGTTTTTTGTGAATAAGATTTTTGGTGTTTTTCTTTGGTATGATAGTGCTAGTTGAGTACAGTGTTGTTGGTGTCTTGGGATTTTGGTGTCTTGTCAAATGTTTCACAACTACAAAATCCTAGCGCGCAAAGATACAAGCTTGAGAAGCTGAAAGGCATAGTCTTTCTATAAGCCCAATAAGCAGAAAAAAATTCATTTCCTCTAATGGCTACAAAATTCTTTTTGAAGTCTAATAAACAGAAAAATATTTATTTTCTCCAATGTCTTAAAAACTCTTTATTGAAATGATAAAATAGTCTTTCAATAAGCCTAATAAGCCGAAAAACATTTATTTCTTCCAATGTTTTACAAACTTTTTATTAAATAAATGTTATTCTCATTTCTACAATACTTAAAATAAAATTCATCTTCTCACAAATAGGTAAGAATTGTTATTCTCACCGCTACAATATATAAAATAAAACTCATTTTCTCTAAAAACTTGGATTGACAAAAGTTATTTGAAAATCACCTTAATCTAAAAAATACATAAACTAAAATATATACTCAAAAAACTTGGATGGAAGAAAGTTATTTGAAAATTACTCTAATCAGAAAATCAAAAATTTTGGATTCAAAAAAGTTATTTGAAAATCAAATTAACCTGAAATTTTCAAAACAGTGAAGTTGAATCTGAAGTTTTCAAAACATTGTCTAAAAAACCGGGAACATACCTCATGTAACATACCTAGTTTGGAAGACTGGTAACGTAAACCGGGAACATACCTCTGGTAACATACCTGGAAGACTGGTAACGTTTAAAATAGTGATTGAAAAGTACCCCTTATAATTTCTGAATCATTAAACTCCCCAATATATTTACTTCCCTCAATCATAAATCCCAAAATAATTAGTTTTTTCTATAGAAGAAAAATAATACTCTAAGCCCAATTTTTGGAATAACAGTAGTAAGTTAATATGGAACTCCAATATCAAATGAATTAATTAGTTCTCTCCAATTTAAAAAAAAAATTAGTAACACATCTTTTCCATAAATCAACCCAATAAGTAATCAGTTTCCTCCAATATTAAAAAAAAAAAAAAACTAAAAAAATTTACTTTAGAAGTAATAATTTACTCCAATATCTCACAACAATAGAAATAATATTTTACTCCAATATCTCCAATAAAACCAGAAGTAATAGTTTTCTAGAATCTCTCAATAAGTAATAATTTACTACAATGTCTCAAAAGTAACACCATTATTCATTCACAAGATGAAGATGAAGAGTACGATTAACGCTACTTAAATAAAAATCACGCATCTCAAACGATTGATAGCGTGACACAAGTCATGTCGCATAGATGACTTTGCCGCAAATCATGAATGGGTTACGGTGCATCAAGGTGGAATACAACTTGAAAAGTATCGAGTGAGACTATTTATGTTTAGTATAAGGTGGTTTCAATTAATCTTGATCTTTAGATGTAAAATTTGATGGCTGTATTTAATGGGATTGTATGCAATAAAAATATTTATTTTTTGTATAGAGAGGTCACAATTACTTACAACCATCCGATGTGAAATCTGATTACTTAAGTGTCTCATAAAGTTCGATAAAAAAAAAATTTAACTTTGAACTTGATCAATGAAATAAATGCAGCCGCCCGATTTGACATTCAATGGTCAAGATTAATTGTGATCACCATCGGAGGGTTATAAGTAAGTGTCACTCTATGTGCTAAAAGTAAATGGTTTTCAATGTATACAATCCCTAAATACAATTACAAGACTAGCATATAAAATAAGGGTGTGGTTTCTATAAAGTTGCAATCTTAAACAATCCAATTAAGACGTACCTCCAAATTTTGTCATAACATGTAATTTTGTTGTAAAAAATTCTTAGGATTATCTTAAAATCTATTTTCATATCTAATTAGAAAATTTTAAACTCCAAAAATAGTTAAAATCAAGTACATCTATAAACATATGAAAATCTTGAATGGACGGTTTAGATAATGTGTTGCAAGATGCACTATTTATGGGACTCAAAAACTTTTTTTTTTTAATATTCATACGTCTCGATGTCGAGATGATCAATCAGAAGGCTTTTCAACACTAAAACAACTTTTCCAATAGATTTTTGAGGTGCATCTAATTCTATATTTTAAGGTTGCTACCTCATATAAACTTTTCCCCTATAAATAAAAAGGTGCAGTTTGTATAGAGCCGAGGCTCTAAACAATCAATATGGAAATCTTTGTGATAGCCTTGCAATATATTTTCATCTCTAACTATAAAATTTCAAGCTTAAAAAATGGTGTAGATGGAGCTGATCTATGAAAACTTGAAAATCTTGAAAATTGACAGTCTAAAAATGCATTACAACATGCGCTATTTCCAAAACTTGAAATCCGTTTTTTTTCTCATGTCCATGCATTGTGGTGTCGAGATGATCAATTTGAGGATATTTGGGCATCAAAAGAACCTCTTCTAGTGAAATTTTTGAGGTGCACTATAATTTGATTGTTTAGAGCCTCGCACTTATATAAACTTTTTATTAAATAAAATAGGGTGCAGTTTGTATAGAGATGGGGCTTTAAAAAGTCAAAGTTTGTATAGAGCTAGGGCTTTAAACAGTCAAAGTAAAGCGCACCTTCAAATAGTGTTGAGAAATGTGGTTTCAATACTGGAAATCTTTGTGATAGCCGTAAAATATAGTTTCATCCTTAGTTATAAAATTTAAACCTTTAAAAATAGTGTAGATCAAGCATGTCTATGAAAACTTGAAATTTTTGAAAATTGACAGTCAAAAAATACGTTACAAGATGCACCATTTCCAAAACTTAAAATTCATTTTTTTTCTCATGTCCATGGATCTTTATGTTGAGATAATCAAATTGACGATATTTGGGCATCAAAATAACATCTTCTAGTGAAATTTTTAAGTTGGGCTATAATTTGATTGTTTAGAGCCTCAATTGCATATAAACTTTTTCCAATAAAATAAGGGCAAGGTTTGCAAGATGCCTACCTTATTCTATACAAGTAAGACACCTCTAAATTTTGCCAAAAGATGCAATGGAAAATTTATGGTGGATTGAAAATCCATGTTTAATTGTAATTATGAAATTTCAAATTCCAAAAACAATGCAGATAAAGCGAATCTACAAATACTTGAAAATATTAAAAACAGATGGTCCACATAACTTGCTACAAGATACACTATTTTTAGGATTTAAATTTTTTTTTTTGGTTGAGATGATTAATTAGAAGGTTTTCCGAGTTGAGAACACTCTTTCCTACAGGGCCTCGAGGTGCATGTTATAGTGCAAGGTTGCAACTTTATAAAAACTCTTTCTATAAAATAAGGGAAAAGTTTGTATGGAGCTGAGGGTCTATGCAATCAAATTTGAGCCTACCCCAAAATTTTCAGAAGAGGTTGTTTGGATGCTCAAATATTTTTAAATTTATCATCTCGACATCAAGATGCATAGACAAGAGAAAAAAAAAGATTGCAATTTTTTAAAATAGTACATTTTGTAATACATTTTTGAACCATCAATTTTCAAGATTTTCAAGTTTTCATAGATATGTCGATCTACACTATTTTTGAAGCTTTAAACTTTACCAAAAAATATAAAAATATAAAAATATATTTTAAGGCTATCACAA